TTATTTCTATATTTTTGCTGTGTTGTTTTCTTTACGTATCGTGCCTACATAATTCACTCACTATGATGACACAGCTGAGTGGAATCTGCTGCAAAGTGCTGATTAAACCTGCGTGCATACTGCTGGCATACTGCTATCATTTGGCTATCGGGGTATAGTCTCATACATAATTATATCGATTGCATAATTGCGTATATAAGTATGCAGAATCAGATAAAAAAGTTGTCTGGCATATAAAATACTTTTTTTTCTATATATAGTTTCAAGGCGAGAATATCAAAGAGCAAAGTTACGTTCTTCTATATGCAACAAAGCGATTACTTTATGAATTATGGATTTCTTGCATTTCTTTATATGCAATCATATTTCTACATATTTAAAACATCACACATAGCTAAATGTTTTTTCTCAATTATTGAACAATGTCTTTGTGAAATTAATTTTGCAAATATATTGCTAAGATGATTTGCCATATCGTTATTTTTTTGCCGAAATAGTATTTAGACAGTAATTTTGCAAACACCTACAAATATTTCAGAAAAGATCAATGTTTTTGCATCTATTTCCTAAAATATATTTGTATAATTGCAAAGTACAATTTTAGTGCAAAATTTCGTCACATAATTTTGTAAATGGTTTCCTATCAGAGTATATGCATATTGTCTGCATTTACGGTAGAAAGCGTTATAGGCAGTCTTCTATGACATAACTTCCAAGTACAAAATTTACAACTCCCGCTTCCACTGCAATGCTCTCTCTAGTCTTTCGTGACTCCAAAATAAAAAACAAGCATGCGTGTATTATAATCACTCACAAAAACATGAAAATTGTTCAAAATAATTGCATCAAGAAATTATATCAAGATAACTACAAACAAACAAGTGAACATGTTTATAAACATATCACAAAACAATTTGAGAATAAAAACATTAATGAAATTCAAATGTGTTCAAACACCAATAAACGTACCTATTATATAAATGCGTAAACTCCGCTCGACTTTTTATGTCGCCGTCTACCAGATAATTACTAACAGAGAAGAGAAAAACTGAATATAAAAGTCAGAGTATATATATACGCATTAAAACCGCTGTTTGTGACAGTTCTTCCGCTTGATCAATTGTGTTCAGACAATATATAAAAGCATGTGTGATATGTATTTATTTACACAACAAAGAAAACTAGTTCAAAAATTGTCTTAAAAAATCAGAGAAAAATTTATTCTACTCTGCGATAAAATCATAGTCTAAACAAAACGGTCTTATTGCACATCATTGCACAGTTATAATTTAATAGTTTTTTGACCTTTGGTACTTTTCACGAACATCTACTTAAGATATTTCAGTTTTTACAATACATTTATCAGTTCTATGTAAGAGTTTTGAAACACATGTAAAACATATGTATCTAGTGTGTTGGATCTTAAGAGATCCAAGTTCAGTCGTTATCCTAACATAACTGAAAACGAGTTATGATTGTTTGCGCGTGAAATACACAGAACTAGTATATTGTGAAGAAACTTGAATCTATTTGATACATTTTATACATCAACGTGAATCATGATTGTAACAATATTGTTAGTGTTGATTTTATATATAATATTGTATGATTATTATGTGCATCATAAACGAAGTGGGCGACTTATTCGCCTTATACCAGGTCCACCAAGTGTTCCAATTTTCGGTTCGGCACTTTTATTTCAATGTTCACCACGCAAGTATTATACTTCTTTTTACACATTACGTTAAAAAGAATAACAAAACTATCGAAGTCTTTTAGATGTTGTGCACACTTTTATTTTGAATATTATCTATATTTAGTACATTTTTTAGGAAATATATGGATGCTTGTGCGTTATTTTGTCGACACTATGTATCCCGTTATGAAACTGTGGATAGGTCCTGAATGTATTATAATCCTTCGTCATCCAGATGATTTGGAGGTGTAATAAAATATAAAAATAGTGTATACTTTTTTGCAAGTGTACACTGACACGTAGTTTTGCGACTTAAAAATTATTGTTGTCATCTATAATTTAAAAAAAGGAAAACTTCAAAATTTAAAAAGATACATACATGAGATAATTTATAAATTATATGTACTAAAATTAGATTAGAAAAACTTAATAGTTTCATTGTCTTTCTCTTGCAATTTCAGAAAGTTTTAAGCACTACAAAACATAATGAAAAAAGTAGAGTGTACATCACGGTACGTCCATGGCTTAACGATGGTCTTCTTACAAGCAAAGGTATAACGACAGTAGTTTTTAATACCTTTAGTATATTTAATACCATATTTAATAACATCAATATATTATAACTTATTATATCATTTAAAAAACCTGAATTAAAGCGAAATTTTACAATTATACTTGTACTATAAATAGTGTAAAGAAAACATGTCCGGCTTTGACAATAACATGTTCATAAAATCATCAAGAGACTATTCTTTTTTACTTCACTTTCTATAATAGTTTGTACTAAAGGTATCATATCCCTTTTTTAATCAATATATCGTTTTACAACCATACATATCTTTTTTTTTTATATAGAATCTTCACATTCTATTCATCAATAAATCATTCGATCATATCTATATAAATTGTCACATTACAGTAAGGCAGACATAAAATTTGTCATATAACATGTTACATTACATATACATTATTGTTATCTTGTTGTTGCCAGTAAGTACCAAATTATATAATTATTTCATTACAGAGTTATGTTGCATAAATAAGAGAAAATTATATAAGGAAAACATGTTTTCCTTACACTATTTATAGTACATGCATGTACACAACAAAATGGTCTGAACTTTTTTCTCGGTACAGTTACATCACTAAAATATAACAGCAAATATGTAATAGTCAAATAATGCATGACGCGTTAAGAAATATACATATCTAAATATGTGCGATGTATAAAGCATGTATCTTACACTATCACTCATTTAATTATGAGAAATATATCGCGTTACGCTTACTACATAGTATACATATATTAATGATTATAATATGTACAAGTTTGAATGTTTTATTTTTTTTTTACTATAATAATTTGCACAAAACATAGCTTTTAATCTGATATACAAAATGTCCGACAATTACTTTAAAATTTCTCGTAGGCAGATAGAAGGAGTAAAACTGAGTCGAAAAGTCCTGAACCATTTGTTTCTATTACATATAATAAAGGAATAATTATTGAATAAATCAAGCCAATCAGCGCCGACCTTTAGCCGGGCGCTCGTCAGTGAGCTGCACGGAGCAATCACGCACACTAGAAAGGTGGTTTACTGACGTGCGTTCGGTTACAGGTCGGCGCTGATTGACTTGATTTATTCAATAATTAAACTACTCTTTTATTATATGTAAAAGAAAAAAATGGTTCAGGAGATTTTTTGACTCAGTTTTACTCCTTCTTACCCGCTTACCAGAGATTGTAAGGTAATTGTCGGACACCTTGTATATATATACAGGGTATCCCATAATTGCCGTTTAACCGCTCATAGATAAATAGAAGAGGTTATTCTAAGACAAATAGTTCTATACCACTTTGCAAGATTCGTAATAAATAACGAAATATTAATTAATAAAGATCCGCTAATCAATGTGTATCCAGCGTAAAGACAGCTCAGTCTGTCGCGCCGTAGCGACGGAATGGGATGAGATAATAGAACATGTGCATACATAGGTACCATACAGGTTGCCGTCGAGAAGCGCACTATTTGCGCTATTGTATTTCATCGGTACGGCGCGACAGACTGGGCTGTCCTTACGCTGGATGCACGTTAAGTAGCAGATCTTTATTAATTAATATTGCGTTAATTATTGCGAATCTTGCAAAGTGGTATAAAACTTTTCGTCTTAGAATAACTCCTTCTATTTACCTACGAGCGTTAGACGGCAATTATGGAACAACTTGTAAATACAAAGTGTCCCAGAAGTGGTGTGATGTCTCTCGTAAACAGGTAGAAGGAATAAAACTGAGTCGAAAAGTCCTATATCATTTTGCTAAATTCGCAATAGTTACCGAGATCTCAAGTAACAAAAATCAATGAATAAACATGCATCGGGCGCGTAAAGGGTCGTCTACAATAGAAGTAAGCAGTATAGAGTAAGAAGTAAGGTTCTTAAAGTTATTTTATTTTTGTCTATACAAGTAATTATTTCGCGTTTTTTAACACACCTCTGTCATTGGCTAACAGTAAGGCAGTAGGCAGTGTGAAATGAGAATTGCCCATTTCGTAATTCTCTCGTTGTTTCTTCACCGAAAAATAGTTTACTCTCTACTCCTACAGTTTTACTTACTTTATTGTAGACTAGCTATAAGACAGTCCGGCGCGCTTCACGCGCTTACGGTGTTACTCGTAGCGACATATGGGAAGAATTAATATAACAGTATATACTAACGTATACATATTAAAATGTAATTGTGTGAAGCGCGCTGGGCTGTCCTACGCGCGTAAGACAGACCGATGTACGCTTATTCGCGGACCTTTGTTAATTAAAATTTCGGTAACTATTGCGAATCTAGCAAAATGGTATAGAACTTATCGACTCAGAGTTACTCCTTCTATTTGTCTACGAGAGATGTTACACCAATTCTGGGACACCCTGTATATCCTACGTTCGTTTTTTTCAGGAAACAAGTGGCACACTCGACGAAAACTACTCACGCCTGCATTTCATTTGAATATACTACGGCAACTTGTTGATGTTTTGGTTGAAGGAGGAAATCATATGACAAAATCTCTGAAAGAAAGTGAAGAAACAATTATACAAGATTTAGTTTCATTTGTTACCGAGCATACACTAAACGCAATATGCGGTAATATATGATATTTTCTGTCGTATTTATACATGTAGGACTATACAGGTTTGCAAACGATCACAATCTAAACAGAAATTATTGTCTCACCTAACCTAACATATCAGTAATATTTTATATTATAGTATACATGATAATATATTCAGGGTGTCCCAGAATTGCCGTACAATCTCTCGTAGGCAGGTAGAAGGAGTAAAACTGAGTCGAAAAGTCCTGAACCATTTTTTTCTATTATTTATAATAAANGAGTAATTATTGAGTAAATCAGGCCAATCAGCGGAGACCTTTAACCAGGCACACGTCAGTGAGCGCTCACACACACCAGGCGCGCGGCTCACTGACGTGCGTCTGGCTAAAGGTCTGCGCTGATTGGCCTGATTTACTCAACAATTACTCCTTCATTATAAATAATAGAAAAAAATAATTCAGGACTTTTCGACTCAGTGTTACTTCTTCTACCTGCCTACGAGCGATTGTACGGCAATTCTGGAACACCCTGTATATATACACACATATATATCTACAGGGTGTTTGACAACGAAATATCAAGTCAACGTGTGTAGGCAGATTAGGTCAATCTGAGCAGAAAAGTTATTTACCAGTGTGCAAAATTCGCAATAATTATTGAGATTTGAATTAATAAATGTGAGCCAATGAGCGCGCGTGGAACAATGATCGGACTCTATAGGCGTGCACGATTATCAGCTGGAAAGAAAAATGATTTCTCATGCAATGTCTTAGCAATGAGAGGCGCAGTAAAACAAACAAGCGACGCGACTCAACTTCTTGCAATCGCTATTCGGCTATGCAGCGACGAGCAGCGGCGAGCGAAAAGTAGAACTAATAAGTGTGCACGCCTATAGAGTCCGATCATTGCCGCCCGCGCGCTCATTGGTTCACATTTATTAATTCATATCTCAATAACTATTGCAAATTTTGCAAACTGGTGAATAATAATTTTCTGTTCAGATTGACCCAATCTATCTACACACGTCGGCTTGATAGTTCGTTGTCAGACAACCTGTATACAATTAATACAAGTTGCACCATATACAATTAATGAATACTAACGTCCAAATACTTAAATCTATGTGCAAAGTGATTTTATATTGTTATAATACAGCTGTGCTAAATGTATTTTTAGAAACCGTTATGGGTATTTCTTTACGTAGTTTTGACACGTTTGAGGAAGAGTATCGGAAAGCAGTACATGATATAGGTCATCTTTTGGTACACAGGTAATTGATGCGTATGTACATATACAAAGTATCCGTAAAATTTTGACACAGCCGAAGTATAGAGATAAATTGAGTCAAACTGAATAGAAAAGTTATTTGCCATTTTGCAAAATTCGCAATAGTTAATGAGATACAAAGTAATAAATGTGTGCCAATCAGTCTCACGCGCGTAAAGGTACCTTTTCATACAGCAGCACGCTGCGACAGCAAAACGTCGCGTGACTCAAATTTTCTAGGACTGCTTCTGCTGGTATAGTTGTTGCTCTTATTTAGCCCTCATTCAATGCCATTTTTTGTTGTTGATGGAAGTATATAATTATTGCATAAGTATCAACAAGAAAATTTTATCGGTTTTGCTGCTTTTTGTTCGTTTGAAACGCAGACAATACTAAAACGTGTTCCATATTAAAAAGTATGTAGTAAAACGTGTTCCATACTAAAAAGCATGTAACAAAATTAATAAGTAAAAAAAAGATTAAAGAAATATATAACAATAACAATCAGTACTACATTCATATCTCCACCGAAATGTAACTTATAAGTTTTCCTTTTCTTTATGAGATTCTTCTTGTACTTAACTTTTTCATTACGTATGGACGAGATATCTCGTTATTACGATATCATATACTTATGCGACGCTTTAGACGAGATATCTCGCGTCACAACTTTCGTTATTCGAAAATGCAATAAACAAGATATCTCGTATACTTTAATTTGTCATCTGAAAATTTAGAATAAAGAATCAATTCAAGAACACTTTGTTGATATCTCGCCCGTAGCACAGCAATAAAAATAGCGACGCGTGGTATCTCATTCATACCGTCAATCAAGCGACATTGTGATGGCGAGATATATCTTGTTCTTGATAACGAAAAGATTAATTAAATAAATAAGTAAACACACTCATTATCGACACATCTCAGTATTAGAATTATTTAGTTTGATTAGCAAAATATGCGAGTAATTGCTCGTAATTTGTTAATCAAAATCAAACATCCTAATGACAGAATCGCTTTCGCGTTCGGCCATCGTTATTTTCCATTTTCTATTATTTATATGATATAGATATAGTATATGCTGTTATGTTAGCTCCTCCCGTACTGTTGCTACGGGTAACAACCGCAAGCGCGCGAAACGCGCCGGCCGCCGGGCTGTCTTACGCGCGTAACAGCCTAATACATGCTTATTCGCGGATCTTTGTTAATTAAGATCTCGGTAACTATTGCGAATTTAGCAAAATGATATGGGACTTTTCGACTCAATGTTACTCTTTCTATCTGTCTACAAGAGATGTCATACCAATTCTGGGACACCCTGTACCTGAAGTAACGTGATTATTATGCGCAGAGTCTTCTCTCCGTGGCTGTTTCCCGATTGGATGTTCGCATTATCTCCAACAAATAGAAAGCAAACTAAGATGTTAAAGATATTACATGGATTTACTGAAAAAGTGTGTACAATATTTTTTTCTGATTACTTTTCTTTACAAATACAAAAATACTCACATATATATAATATCGTTAGTAGCACAAACATTTCTGCAAAGGGTTTCTTGAAACTTAGCACCGTTTCGTTAAAACTCTGTAAAACGTCGTAGTAACGTAGCGGAAACGTCAAAATGTTTGCTTTTTACGTTACGGTCCGATTTCGTAGAAACATATAAGAAACGTTGCCCGATAAGTTGCAAAGTTTTTAAAGTTTAAATTTTTATAAACATTATACAATACATTTGTGATACCATGCAGGTTTTGCCTGCTTAACCATTCTCCAGGAAAAAGTAATAAATTACTTAATTGTGTGTGAGTGATTAATTAATTATCACTCTTTCCTGGAAAATGATTAACCCGGGCGTAGTCATCCGGGGTGTGTTTTACATCCCAGCGTCGAAAAAATGAAGCTCACGTCACAGCAGTTTTTTTTACAGATCGGAAATTCACACTCACCTTTCAGTCAAACCTTTCGAGTCATACTGTGCACAATAGAAAGTGTTTATGTTTTATACATTGATAGTACAAAGCTATTGAAACTTGCTGAGGTGTAGAAAACACTCCAGGTGACTGCTTGTGTAACTATACAAGTTCGAAATGATAAGATTATAAAGTGTAAATATAAAATAATAATATGAGTTAAAAAGAACATAAGGATGACGTTATAAATACTTATAGTAGAAGAAATAAATAAATAATAATATAAAGGTATAACAATTTATATAAAATAAGAAAACTAACTATTAAAGGAAAACAGGTAAATAAAAAGATTTAGAAAATAACAAATAATAAATTGTTTTAATTTTTATAAAAAACATAAACTTTTGAAGATGAATCAATTATTCCTGTGGACATTTCGACGTTTCCTTAGTACGACGGTTTAGAGACTTTTAACGAAACGTTGCTAAGTTTTGGAAAACTCGTTGCAGAAACGTTTGTGCTACTAACGATGCTAAGTGGGTACATGTAACAAAACATATAGAATTAGGATATTATTCAAAATATTGTCTCTATTTATATAGATCATTAAGGAAAGAAAACTTTATCACGAACGCACAGAGGATCGATATTTAAAAAACACTGAAAGTAACACATTGAAAGAAACAGATGACGCAGAAGTGATCGGAAGTATGTAACGCAGTCAGTTAATGTTGATGCTAAAATTTGATACAAATATAAGAAGTGAAAATCTAATATTTCTTTGTTATGTATATAAGAAGTGTCACTTAACTGTATATATTTGTTTACCTTAGTTCGTAAAAAGCGACTCGCTATGTTGGATCTTCTAATAGCGGCATCTCGAGAAACTGATATAACCGATTTGGACATCAGAGAGGAAGTTGACACCTTCATGTTCGAGGCACGTATAATGTGTAGTATGCGCCCAATTTGTTTCTTCTTAGTACATTCATATACATATAATTACTGAGAAATAGATACGTATAATTACAGGGTCACGATACTACGGCAATGGGTGTGTGTTTTGCTTTACTATTATTAGCTGAGCACAAGGATATTCAGGTATTTTGTGATCGATAAATATGACAAAGAACCGATTACGTCATTCTTTGTTTTGGTCGGTTCTCTATGAAATTATTTTTTTCTATATTTAATAAATTCTAAACGAAATTAGTCAGAGATTATATCTTTTAAAAGTAATTACAAATGAATAGTCTCGGAAAATCATCTCAAAACCAACAAAAACGTTTATAATGAAAAGTAGCAGAATACCATAACTTTCAACAATTTATACAGGATCGTGTCAGGACTGAAGTTAACGATGTGATGGAAGAAACTAAAGGAAATTTGACTATGGCGTCTTTACAAAAGCTACCGTACTTAGAGAGATGCTTGAAAGAAGCGCTGCGATTGTATCCCAGTGTGCCTAACATATCACGCACTCTTGCAGAAGATATAAAATGTCGTACGTATATTATTGCGTTGCGATATAGAATTTTAATATGTCATTATCATAAATTATGTTACATTGTTACACGTCATTGCCATGCAAGTGTATACATGTAAATATTATTTTTTGTTCTCTAATAGAGTCGTACATAGTGCCGGCTAATGTATACGTGAATATTGATATCTACGCCGTCCACAGAGATCCTCATTTCTGGCCGAATCCGGATGTATTCGATCCGGATCGATTTTTGCCCGACCAAGTGCAAAATCGTCATCCTTATTGCTACATACCGTTTAGTGCGGGACCGCGAAACTGCATAGGTAAATTGCGCTCTTCGTCCGTTTTTCAGACGAGAAAACAATTTTTTTGATTTACTGTGTGTGCGGCAGGTCAACGGTTCGCTATGTACGAATTGAAAGCTATGATCGCACCTTTGGTACATCAATTTTACCTGGAGCCTGTTGATTACTTGAAAAATGTTCAGTTAAAGATGGATATGGTAATTCGTCCTGCTCATCCAGTTCGCGTGAAATTTGTGCCGATCAAAAAAAAACAATGAAATTAAAATAAGAATAGAAATGATATAGCAAGAAGGTATGGGAAATGCTTGTGTTTTACTCAATACTAACAAAGTACATTAATGTATTTGCAAAACGTTATATTATTTTTTTACATATTTTTCCTGGCAAAAAAGTCCTGCATATACAGACAATTTTGATATCTATTTACATACACTTACGTACGATACTGAATATATAGTCTCATATATAATTATATCGATTGCATAATTGCGTATATAAGTATGCAGAATCAGATAAAAAAGTTGTCTGGCATATAAAATACTTTTTTTTCTACATATAGTTTCAAGGCGAGAATATCAAAGAGCAAAGTTACGTTCTTCTATATGCAACAAAGCAATTACTTTATGAATTATGGGTTAAGACGTAACCAATTATTTATATAAAGTGTACTTATCTAAAAATAATTAAAATACAATTATTGAAATTGGCGGAAGTGCATCTTTTTACTCGTATTCACATTCTCTTGATCCTTTGTGATAAAAACATTTTGAATGTCTACATACACATAGTATGTGTAGTTCTTTATGCCTTGATAGATAACGGTAAGATATCTTTTATAATATAGAGGATCAGATTTATGAGAGAGAGACTTTTTATTGAATGTAGAAAGGTCTTAGGTTTTTTTTTTTTAATTTGTAAACTAAAAAAACCAAAAGTTTAATTACTAAAATAATTAGAGAAAATAGAGATACATAAAAACCTACTCGTTATGTTCAATTTTACAAACAGACTCATAAATGCCACGTAGCATGTTTTTTAGTAACAGCTATTTCATATACATATTTAATAAACTAGATATATACCGATATGTTTCAAAAAGTTTAACACAGCCGTAATATGAAGTTAAATTAGGTCGACCTGAACAGAAAAGTCATTTATTATCTTGCAACATTTGCAATATTTATTATCAATTTAGACTTTGGACTCTAACGCGCATAGACAAATATATATATATATACCCAGCAAACAATTTCTGACTGCGCAGACCTTGGCAACAGAAACTGTGTGCAGAAACGCTACAGTACGGAAACATGCTTTGGTGCTGCCAAAACTGTTAGCACATAGAGACAAAAAACGCAACAACTCTGTTAGCACATACATGA